TTCTCCAATGAGCTGTTGAGCAGGCCGTGTCAGAGACCGACAGAGGCTAACTACCACCTAAGGCCCTAGCACTCCACTGCATGGGGGGGAAGGCAGAGAGTGTATTTGATGTTAATATTCCAGCCTGGAGGGGAAAGATGTCATAACCACCAGTTGAACAAAGCCAAAGAAGAAAATGTGTTCAGCTGATTGAAGTCCCCCCCTGCATACATTCAGCATGGTACTGTTATCTTTGTGCCCTCACTCTCTGCCTACAGTTAATTTCCCCAGACCCCCATAGCAGCTGCCGCAGGTAGACCTCGGAGAGGTGTAACACGGGCCCCGTCTCTCACTTCTCCTACACGTCCCTCCTTTGCTAACGCGCCAGCCCGTTCCAATACTCGATCATGGCGGGAAACAAAACCACACAGGACTGAGGTTGTCACATCTTCTTTAGCGGGTGAAGAAGAAAAGGATGCCTACTCCGACGATAGAGCTGCTACAACAGCAGCTGTAACTGTCCAAGGGTAAATAGATATTCTGGAGAGGGGCCATTATCTGTCATGGAGCGCTCATACAGCCTTGCCTTGTATTTATTGCCTACTTAATGGACTTGATTGTATTACTGAAGGTAAGGAGGGGAAGAAAAAAAAATCCATTGCTAGCAACAAGGTACTTCCAGCATCCTGCAATTACCTTATGTAAATCCTGGGCTGGAATGTTGATCCACTGCTATTTAAAATGCATTGAATTTCCATGGAAAATGATCCACTCCTGCCGCCTGAAGCCCATTAATAACAACGATGAGCCGGGCTGACATTTGGAATACTTACACGCTTACTTAGCATTGCCGTGCCTGTGAGAGCCCGGTCTGCCATGCACCGCAGCTATGACAGCACATTTGGGGGGGAAAGAAAGGATGGCGGTGAATTAAAGCGCGCCAGGCGAGTGAGTTATTTTTTGCAACTGGAGCCGGTTCTTCTTCTCGCGCATGACTTTAGGCTCGTAAGTGCTCATGCCGTCTTTGATCATGCGGAGAGGAGAGTGTAGGAAAGTGTGTTTGCAGAAACAGCTTCATTACCCTGAATCTTACCATCATGTTAGCATGAGTAGCACACTAGCACTCAATTGTTACGGTTAGCCTGAACGGAGCAGTTCACACAAACGAATAAAGAGTATACACCTCGAATGGTGTGCAGACACGAGATAGTTCTGGTTTTGTGTCCAAAGTTTTGAGATGCGTGACTGAGATTTCTACTTTAACCTCAAAAATAGAGGTGAATGAAATCGCAACTGGAATTCCATTCACCTCCATTGTTTGTGAAGCATGTAAAGGAGAGCAGCTTACACGTCACAAGGAGTAGAACTTATCTGTGAGGATAGTCGTATGCCTTCCAAAGCAGCGGAGGAGCTTTTTTAATGTGCAAGGAAATACCTCTGATGATGTCAACATGCTTATCTCAGATTAGGCTTGAGAGCTTGAATTTTTGACGGACAACCTGTGATATGAGCTCGGGGCGTGGAGTAATACGTCAGCATTGTTCATAGGGGGAACCAAAACCACCCTACATGGCTGAAAAAATATGACTTGATTGTATTTTGGTGAAAGGCCCTTCCAAGGTTGCTGAAACGCTCTTGCTGCACAGAACAGCGTGCATGGATCGTAACCAGTCGACTCTCACACACACAATCAGCGAAGGCCCTCTCTGCATCTGTTGCCTACAGGTTGATGGCACATCAGCCGGCTAAGCCAATGAGGTTCACGGTGGGGCCCAGTCGCCATCGGAGACCAAGACCAGAAGGTAGCGGCGGTGTAACAAAAGGCCTTACAACAGTTTGTTTGGATTGGAGGTTGGGTGGGGGCATCCACAGATGCTCTGGGTGTTAAAAACTGTATGTTGTGCTGTTAATGTGTCAAATGAAACATCACATGTAGCCTCTCCCACAACACAAAGGCTTTGTTAGCATCTCAGACAAATACTAGATCATTTGTCATCGTCGGGTTGTACCGTCTCTTTGTGAAAATGTAAACAGTGAAACTTGATCTGTTTAAAGCTGCTCTAATCAATGCTTTATATTAACAATGGCGAAAATGACAACGTATAATGTGAAAGGTACGTTCCCTTTCGCGTCACTGAGTGTTTTACCATCTTTTGGCTCATTGTTTTGGGGGATACAACCTTTTGGTTCAGTCTCACCACTCTTATAAACCTTGTTTGCAGCCGCGGCCAAAACAAATCTCTGATAAACTGACTGTGTCCTATCTGCTCAGCATGAAACAGCAGAGATAACTTACAAAGTGAGACACTAGCTGGTGAACATAGTGGAGCATTTAGCAGCTAAAGAGGCAGACCTTTTTCACAGGAGTTGACTCCAAATGACGGCTAATGTTGCTCTGTAACTACTAACAAGCTGGTTTGAGTCTTCCAAAACGCCAGCTCTGCACTATAACCGTTTCATAATCACAAACTATTAGCACCACCTCTGGGATGAGCAGCCATGTGCTCACTGAGCTAGGAGTAAAAAGCAGCAGGTAAAGTACGGGGTCTTTACCGGAGTGGCAAAAACCTCCAACCATTTTGTTCCCCTTCCAGCCACTTTGCAGACAGCCCACCTGCAAATAAAGCAGGGGGGGAAGCACTGAAGACCCATACATCTTTTATGCTCCATAATGGCTTGTTCACATTACCTGCCCACACCTCAGCCTCCACGGAGCAGGCCGGGCCAGCACTGAGCAGATCAGGCCTGGAAACCACCGTGAGCATATGGAGCACTTCAAACACTCAGAGCCTCGCCGGGCCCGAGCTGTGGTCGCACCCATGAATTATAGAAATGATCTAATTGTTTTCTCATTTGGAAATACTAGGGGCCCTCCTCTCTGCGTCTCAATTTTAACGGCCTGTGGTTTCCAACGGGGCACATGATTCAGTGCTGCCTACCTCCGACAAGTTTGTTGAATCCAAGGTGGTCCGTCCTGTCAGAACAGAGCCGGGCTGAGGTTCAGCCTGATAGTCAAACCTGTTGCTGTAAATTAACACGTAGGCAAGAGAATGGAGGGGGTTGAGTGTGACTTCAAAGAGTAATGGTTGTGGAGGGCACATGTGGTGGTAAATACACATGAATCAAACCTGGGGATTGGATGAAGACTTCCTGGATCTCAGAGAACCTATGGAAGCCTACTAATACCAAGAAAAGGGTTGAAAGGTTAGGTATGACGAAAGCAAAATACTCATGAGAGGGGAATACTGTGAGCTACTTAGTCAACATTATGATGACTACATGTCAAAAATCTTGAGTGTGTTCAATGGAAAACCCTTCATTGTTGAGAAGCCAAAGGATCCGGCACCTTTCACACACCGGTAGTTATTCATCAGGTCAAATGTATCCAGGATTTAGAATTATGAGATAACAAGTCAAAACCCTGACCAATATGAAGCTAGCGATAAAGAAAGTAATATACTTGCGGTAAATGAAAATGATACCAAGTCAAACGTTTGATTTTCTGAGTTCAGTTGTGAGTTTTATTAGTTTGGTCTGATTGGTTTGTTTGAAGGAGCAACAACTCGTAACTAACTAACCGATATAACTTCATAATCCAGGACATAAAAAGGTCAAAATTCAGAAAAACGAAGTCAAAACAATGGCGTTAAATCAAAATGACAAATGATTCAATTATGAGATGGAAGGTTCGTCAAAATTATAGACAATACGACAATAATCAAAACTCTGAAAAACTATTTCAGCTTCTCTCAGCATCACTATTGATGTTCTCAGTGTTCTCGATGTTCTTGGTGTTCTTGATGTTCTTGGTGTTCTTGGTGTTATTGGTTTGACTTGGAGGGTCGAGGTGTTCACGGGTTCAGATCCACAGTTCATGGTTCATTAGGGTGCCGTTCTATTCAAAACTGCACAGCTGATTCTAAATGAGAAGCGTTTGTCATCTGCCACGAAACAGCAAGTTTAACATTTAAGCTGAAATAACACGAGGATTAACCACGCGGCTCCAATCAGCTGCTCTGACAGAAAACCTGGATGTATTTTACCAACTTTTTTGGCAGAGGATGGATTATATGCGTCACGGCCAGGCACAGGGGAGAAGGCTGCCTACGTTACATCAGGAGAGACACAAAGTTTGGCTTTTGTTAATTTGCTAATAGCAATCAGCTGTGAAACGTGTGCTGATCGGGTCTGGGTCTAACATGTCTTAGTTCTGCGAGGGTTCAGGTTTGACGGAGTACATTTCCAGTTCTTTTGGTGAAGATGTGTATTTAAGGATCAAACTTTCCACCTATAACTATTTAGGCTTAGGACTCAAAATGTTGACTCTCCTCATATTGACTTAAGGAACATTTTGACCCACTATCTTATAATACTGAACTTGTGTTCCATACATTTGACTAAATCCGTTAAAAATGTCTAACGTTGTCCTGTCAGCCTTTATTCCTATCATTCGACCGTCACTCTCCATATGCTAGGAGATGCTAAAGCAGATATCCCAACACACAAACACACGCTGCAGTGTAGAACACACAAGAAACCAAATGGAGGCTTTCTCTAAGTGCAGCCTGCAGCTCTGCTCAGCACTCACTCCGCCTCGCGCTTCTTAATCAAAACTGGCACCGTGGCAATTACCTAATTAGACATCAATTAATCCACAGCCTTCAGGTCTGCAGCCGGTCTGACCCGCGGAGTAATGACAAAAAATGCCTTCAAAGAACGGAGGAATGAGATTAATGGAAGCGGAGCGGAGAGGCTGAAATATACTGCGGCTCATTTCATAATTAACAGGTAGGAATATAATTGATTGAGACGTGAAAGCTTAATCACTCAATTCAATAAGCAGGATATCGGCATCGAGTAGATTAATTCAATTCAGTAATTAAATGTGAGGGAAAGGTGAAGCTTTAGTTGATTGAAGGTTAAACAGCAGACTCCCCTCTCTCTCTCTTTATCGCCTCCGCTCGCCCGCCACCGCTTAGCTCCACGTTTAACAGAGAAGTCACACTTCAGGGTCCCAAACATTTAGTTTGTCTCTTTTATTAGACATAGCAGTTTCACAAACAGCAGTTAGCCTGAAAATGATATTCAGAATGTAGCGGACCATGCAAACACTCCAGACACACCTCCAGAGGACAGGAACATTCGCTCACATCTTTGTTTTGTGTTTTTTCTTCACCTGTGTCATGTTGCACTTCAAATTTACAAATCATCTTTCACTAGTTCACCATCAATGCATACATACCTCAGTCACTATAACACATTTGGACAACTAGTTTCTGTCACTGTCACTGTACATAAGCTTCTGAACGGGTTTCTTAAAGGCTCCCACACGTCCTCCGTACTGCTCCTCCTTCTGAATACTTTAATATCAGCTCGGGTGAGGAAGAGAAGGGGCGTCAAGCCAACGGGCGGAGACAAATTCATGTAGAACGTGGCAGCGCTACAGTCCCAAGAAATCCACTTTGAGGGTTTCCAGTAACACCAGGAGCTCTGAGATGAAGGAGCATCTCCCCCCCCCCCCCAGGCAGCTTTAACGGAAACCTCACCACAGCACGTAAGACGACACGACACACAGTTTGTACAAAGTAAGCAGACAAAGATGCTTCTGCTCAGGTTTGCTCCACTTAGGTTAATTCACTCAGACAGACAGACAGACAGACGATTGGTCCTCTGTCGTTCAAGTCCTCAGGTCACAGGGTTAATGGTTAACACTGGTTGGAAGGGGAAAGTGGGCGTGAAAGGAGGAAGGGGTGTGTGATGGTGTCGCTAAGGTAAGTTCGGGGGACACGGTCTGTAACTCAAGTTGATCCAAGTGCCAGGATGGGAGTATGTTAACGTAACACTGGTTTTTAGTTTTTGTTCCAGCTGATCTGAAACCACATCACGGACAAAAAACACAGAAAAACCTGATCCAGTTCAGATTCTGCTCACTCCTTCAGCGAGGTGATTAGGTCGCCGGTTTGGCTATTAATGTCACACACCTACCCCCCCCCCCCACAGGTTACCACCGTTCCAATTACTGGCCACAGGGATCCAGTGTATGTGGGAAAGAAACAAACACCTGAATACTGGAATCCAGCACATCACACGGACGTACACGCATCACCACGCCATCACTCTCAAACACTGTCCATGTGTGTCCGGCCCCGCTACTCGCAGCAGAGGATGGGCACTGGAGGAGCGGGTGAAATCTGTACACCTTTTTATAATCTTTTTCTTTATTCTTCTCCTCTGTAAGTGCAACACTTTTTCATAAACTGTTAATGAAGGTAAATTGGATTTTGTTTTCTTCCATGTGCTTGGTCCACAGCAATGTTCAGTTCAGTCAAAGAAAAGGAAGGGGGAGGGGGATGGGGGAGGGGGGGGGGGAGCCCGGCATCCTGTCGTGAGCCGGCGCCTCTACCTGCCGAAGATGTTCTCGTACTCGAGCAGTATGAGCTCCACTATCTGGTTCTGGTAGACCATGTGGACTGCGATGTTGCCCGTCTCGGTCTCGGGCCGCAACAGCGTGGGTCCGAACACGATGGCCACGCTCTGGGTGGTCATGCGGTTGGCCTCCCCGTGGTCAATCACCCTGAGGGGGGGGGAGGGGAGGGGGGAGAACATGGAGAGATTTAAAGATGGAATGTCTCACAAATGGCTTTTGGTGATGTTTGTTTGTTTGACAACTCAGGTTTTCATCTCGCACATATCTTTAGGGCCTGAGATGGAGCGCTGACACACACACACACACACACACACACACACACACACACACACACACA